AGGGAGAGGTGAGGGCGGGGCCAGGTCCCACAGAAGCAGTGCTCCTGGAGCCCAAGGAAGGCACCAAGCTGGCCTGGGCGAAAAGGATCAGGAAGCAGCACCGGTTCCCCAGGTGTCTGGGGACCCAAGACCAGGAATGGTGCAGGGCCCAAACCAGGAGCAGGAAACAGTGGGGGAGATGGAAGGGCGAATGAGGCTGGGGCAAAAATTTTATTTTTTTAAAAATAATAATTTGTTATGATTTGAACCAAGTCAATTTATGATTAAAGTACATTATATACATGTCATAATGAAACTCATTATTTCATATTTAATATGTGCTAATAAAATGGAAAAAAACAAAAGAAATTTAACCAGAAATCATTCTTCCTAAATTCTAAGGTTCATGAGAGCCAAAATCAATTCATTTTGTTCAATATTGTATTTCTTGTACATGTCATAAAACTGGCAATCTATTTACATTTACTAGACAAATTACTACTCTGAAGACCAGATACAGCCCAGTAGCTTTGAAATTTAAAAGTACACCAGAATCACCTGAGGAACTTATTAAACACAGACTATGGGGACTTACCCCTATCTATCTGATTTAATATCCCTAGGATAACAGACCAAAATATGACTTTTCAAATACATTTCAAAGTGATGCTGATGCTGTCTAGTCCATTGTCTGATGCATAGAGAATGCATAATAAATTACATTAGTTGAAACAATGAACATATGTGAAGTTGCTTCATACTTATGTTAGTTCTTGATTGATTTTGTTCTTATATTCAGTTAAATACTATGTCATGATTCATATAAGAGTATATTCAAAGCACTTGTGAATGGAACACAAGACAAGACCAGTTACCAGAAAGGATGGTGACACTAAATCTATGCCAGAGGGTTGACCACCATTGGACTATTAAAAAGTTGAGGAAAAGGGACTGGAGAGATGGTTCAGTGGTTAAGAGCACTGACTGCTCTTGCAGAGGATCCGGGTTCGATTCCCAGCACCCACACAGTGGCTATGAACTATCCTTAACTCCGGTTCCAGGGGAATCCAAAGCCATCTTCTGACCTCCGTGGCATTGCACAACAGGGGTGCACCACATACATGCAGGCAATACACTCATACATGTAAAATAAAAATAATAAACAAAATATTTTTTAAAAATAGAGAAAATAAAATTTTTAGAGAGATGAAGCAAGGTAACCATAACTTGGAGTTAAAAAGGCTATTAGTAGAATAAAAGTATGTATCACTTAAATAGCTAGCGATGTTATCATTAAAAAGGTGATGAAATAATTTGACTCTAAATGTCATAGTAAAGGGCGAAATATGTAAAACTACCCTAAAAATAACTTTGCTTAGAAATTAGTGAGTTGGTGAGTGGTTGAAGGAAGGGCTTAGAATAATGCAAAATACTAGACAGACAGGAGAGGATCAAAGTTATAAAATAACATTAACGAAAATCTCGGCCTTGCTGCCCTCTAAATTACAATCCTCATAGATGTGCAGAAAAAAAATTAAGCTGCTGGGAAGGTCAAGTTTTAATATCATATTAATCTAGCTGGGAAAACGGACTTCAAGTTCTAACCATATAATGAACTTGTAAGAAATACTGTGTGTCTATAAATGTCTTAGTTTGTTCTTCATTGCTGTGACAAAACACACTGACCACTACCAACTTGGGGAGGAAAGGGTTTATTTGTCTTACATTTCCCAAGTCACAGTTCATCAGGGAGCCAAAGATAGGAACTCAGGGCAGGAACCTGGAGGCAGGGGCTGGAGCACAGGCCATGGAGCAACACGGCTTACTGACTTGTTCCCCTGGCCCCTGCTCAGCTTGCTCTCTTATCCAACACAGGCCCACCTGCCCAGGGGTGGCACCATCCACAGTGGGCTAGACCCTCCCACATCACTCAACAATCAAGAAAATGCCTCACAGACATGGCCACAGTCCAATCCAATGGAGGCAATTCCCCAACTGAGGCTCCCTCAACCCAGGTGTGTCAAGTTGACACTAAAGCTATCCAGCACAATAAATAACTATAACATGCTTAGCCCATCACTCAACTGAAACAAGGATTATTAACTAATAGCATCAAAGAACTATTCAGTACTGAATGTTATCCTTTCTCCTTTCAAATAGGGAAATGTTTAGATTATTCAAATTATCTGGGAAAAATTGTTACATAAACACTTATTTAAAAATACAAGGCCTCTTTTTGTTCTATTCTTTGTCATGTATAAAAATGAATATCAAAGGGTATCTTTGATGAAAGTATTCAAATTATGTTTACATCGAAATTAAACTTCAAGTGCTGGCTTATTCGCTTCCTAAATGGTTTCAGATCCCCCTCTTAAAGAAAAGAAACAGAATCTCTATTTTACTTCTACTGTTCATGATGCGTTTTAGTACTATAAGCTATTCTAATTCTATTTTGAAAGTAGGAGGAGGTTTAAACTTTTCTTTTTTAATTTTTAAAAAATTTAAAAATTTTATGTTTATGAATACATTGCCTGTTTGTATGTAACTGGACCTGTGTCATGCAATGCTCACAGAAGTCAGAAGAGGGCGTCAGATCTCCTGGAACTGGAGTTACGAACAATTGCTAGCTGCCATGTGGGTGTTGGGATTTGAAGCCAGGTCCTCTGCAAGAGCAGCCAGTGCTCTTAACTGCTGAACCATCTCTCCAGCCCCCTTAGCTTTTTTTCTTTTTTAAATTTATTATTTTTATTTTATGTATATGAGTGTATTGACTACATGTGTGTAAGTGCACCTGTGTCATGCAAAGTCTGCAGAGGTCAGAATTTTCCTGGAATTGGAGTTACAGATGGTTGTTAGCTGCCACGTGAGTGCCGGGAGTTGAACCTGGGACCTCTTTAGGAGCAGCCAGCGCTCTTAACCGCGGAGCCATCTCTCCAGCCCCCTTTAAGCTTTTCTTAAGAACTACTAATGAACTGTAGAAATGATCTCTGAAACTACAGTCTTTAGGTCAAGGTCCTAGAGGAGAACTTACTATTATTCTGCAAAATGTATATAGTATAGCTGCCTCTTAAGTACTTATTTTAAATCCAAACGTTAGTGTATCTCTCAACTTTCATCAGTGAAGCTTCTTTTTGAAACATATGGCAACTTACACTGAGACCCACAACCAGTCAATGTGCAGCTCTAAATGGGACATCTATATCACATCCCACTCCCCAAAGCTCAGGGATCATTGTGGAAGAAGGGTGGAGGGCTTGTAAGAGCCACAGGTACTTCTGTGAAATAGTGTTTTCTGGACCACTACACACATGAACCCACAGCAGCTATGACTCCATGCACAGGACCTGCATAAGATCAAGCTAGGCAAAATACCAGCATGGATGGTGAGGGTCTCACAAAGCCCCACTCCTAGATGAGCTATTGGCAATTGATGGCTGCTAAGGTAGGGGCAGTCAGTTTTTATCAGGGATGTATCTCCTGAGAATCTTCTCATGCTCTAGTAGATGGCCCTACACAAGCGGATATACTGGCGGAACCAAGTCACTCAATGCATTTTAAAGAGTACATGGAGCTGGGAGGGTAAAGTGGTGGTAGGGGTATGGGACATGTTAGAGGGGTGGGAGTTGGGGGGTAGATTTGAACAAAACATACTATATGCATGTTCAAAATTCTCAAATAAAAAATAAATGCTAGAGCTAATCTTTAAAGAGAGGGACTGTAGATAGACTGACTAGACCTCAGTGGATGAACTTGCAGTGAGGGACATCTGGGGACACTAACTTGAATCAATAGGCCTTAACACAAATGACAGAATGCATGAAATCCAGTGGGGGGTTGTGTGGGGGTGGTGCCACTGGAGAAGGGGGATATAAAGATGATTAAGATGTTCTGTATGAAATATAAAATTTCAATATAATACTTACAAAAAAGAAGTGCTATTAGAAGGGACCAAATTAGTATCTTCTGAACTTGAAAAAATTCAATATAATACTTACAAAAAAGAAGTGCTATTAGAAGGGACCAAATTAGTATCTTCTGAACTTGGAGATCTCAAAACCAAAGGCGTTTCCATAATTTTAAAGGGTACTGAAGTTTGTGTTAACTATTCCTTCGTGTAATGGGACAAGTCATGCATTGTTACTTCCTGGGAAAGGAGACTGTGTGATTGGTGGCTCCCATCACTCCTCATCCTATTTAGATGCTTCTCTTCTTTGTATCCAACAATATCGTTCATAGGCCTCTCCCACAGCAATGATAAATGTCAATTTTGAGATATACCTAATAAGACATTATTTATTGTTGTGGTGCTTAGGATGATATCCAAGTCCTTGTACATGTTAAGCCCCCAAAACAGATTTTTTAAAAAAGTAAATCCTTGACCTAATCTGGTGTTATTTCTAGTAACCATTCTTAAAAACAATAAGTGTAAGTCTACTTTTATTAAGAAAATAAGTTCTAAAATTGCATATTAGTTGTAATAAGAGGAACTTGGGGCATCAATTTCTTATTTTCCTCCTAAAATTAACAGTCATTTGATCCAGAAAAGGGAAAAGCGATCTATCTACAAATACTTGATATAAGGGAGATTCAAGCAAGTGACCCCAAGGTTTGTTATTTGTAGAAAGTTCACAAGCACATGCATGCTATATAGAACTAAAAGCTACTTAAAATATGTTTAAGAAGTCTTAGTTGCTTCACCTGACTCTCAGCAGAGATGGACAGTTTATGGAATTCCACCTGAAAAATAAACAGTTCAAATTATACTCAGGATATGAAACAAAATAAATGATCCCAACCAAGTCTGATTCCAAAAGGCTAAGTAAAAGCCAGTTAAGGTACGTTCAAGGACCCCTCATTATTTCACCTGATTCTCAGTCGAGATAGACAGTCTACGGAATTCCACCTGAAAAAAAAATGATTCAAATTATACTCAGGATACGAAACAGAATGAATGAGCCAAACAAAGTCTGCTTCCCAAAAAGATGGGTTTTCTGGTTTTTTTTTTTTTTTTAGTTTTTGTTTAGTTTTCAGACAGGGTCTTCAGTATTCAGTATTTACTATGTAGCTGAAGGTGGCCGTGACCTTTTGATCCTCCTGCCTCCATCACACAAGTGCTAGGATTACAGGTACCACACTATCATGCCCAGCTAAGGACGTTATTTAATTATGGCTATCTCAGCAATGGCTATCTCAGGTGAGAGCTTACCTGCTTTACCTCACTTTTTAACTGCATGATCCCAGTTCGTTCTGTTTTTGTTGCTCCAACAGCACCAATCTCATGGATAGAAATAGCAGGACTCATATTTGAATCAGTGGGTCGAACTGTATAGAATAAGAGACCAAAGTGATAAAGAATAATCAGTCTTTTAACTACTAAGCCATTTCTCTAGCTCAGATAGCTTTTCTTTTAAATGTTTTATGTATTAGAGTTTTACTTATTTGGGGCTAATAGCTCCTCTGATAAAGAAAACCATTTTTTAACTAGTGAGAATTGAAATTAAACACTGAAGGGAAAGTTCAATTATTGAATCTTACCGCTTCGTTCCACTCCAAACTCTTTGCCACTGAGAATGTGATGCAGGAGGTTCTTCATGGCTGAAGGACTGAGATTCATCAGGCCCTCGGTGGCTTCTTCAACTAGTCAACAGAAATACAAGAAGGAATTCTGGCGTGCCTCCCATTCCTTCCCTAGTTCCCCTTTTCTCAAAACAGGCCCTTATTGCATAGCCTAGGCTAGCCTCAAACTCATCATCCTCCTGCCTCAGCCTCTCAGGTGTTGGAATTGTACCACCATACCTGGTTTGCTCACTTAGATGTGTCCTCTATCCTCCTCCTCCATCTCCTTCAATGGGCAGGGGTTGCTGAGGAGTGGACCCAAGGCCTCACACCTACCAGGCACATATGCTACCACAGGGTTATACTCTAAGGACCTCGTTTTCCTTTCTGGCACAGAATTTCTGAGTCACTTACTTAGAAGACGGAAATTATATACTTGGCTATTCATACCACACTAGATTTTTCACTATTTAAGAACTGGCTATCCAGACTATAGATGAACTAGTCCATTAGTTTCTTCTTCATTCTATTTCCATCCCATTTGACAACTTCATACAATCTTTATTTGAAGGTGGAAAGAATGAAGAGAAGAAGGGAACTGGAAGATATTCAGACAAAGGTAATAAATTTACATGTGCATGCATACAAACCAAAATAATGAAAACTTCTCAGTCTAGAAACAGGTATGTAAAAGAAAATACATATGCATCTATGATATTATTAAGAAGACCAAGAGGATAACTTGAACTTATTCATCAACATCAGTCAGTTATTGAGTTGACTGCATGTAGATCACTATTTCAGCAATGTTAGCACAAGTAGGTATGGCATGTGGGACCTGACCTTGCAAGGCTGACTGTCACTTTGGGAGAGATGCAATATACAAACAAGAGAAAGACAGTAAAATGTTGTGCATACTACGTGGCAAGTGAGTGGTACAGCCAGTGACTTTTTGAAGTCAGAGGAAACATTAATCTGCAAGAATAGGGACTGATAGAAGACTTCATGGGAAGTACTGTTGAGTTAGTAGGTAGAGGCCAGACCCAGGAATCTTGACTTTATCCTATAAATATGGAGAGCCATGGTTTTGATGAACCCAACAGAGGAAAACCCATTACAAGCAAGGAAAAGCAAAGAATGTTTGAGAGTTTAGTCACTGGCTAAGGCACAACCACACCCTCTGACAAAACATTCTTCGATACCACAGCTGGAAAATCCTATAGAATACATTTATCTCTAAAACAGCACTGACTAGAAATCAGCTTGACTGGATAGGCCTTGGCATATGTGACAGAATGCTTGAAATTCGGTGGCGGGGGCTGTGGGAGGGTGTGGATGGGAAGGGGCTCTAGATACAATTGAGATTTATTGGATGAAATGCACAGAAATTCAGTAAAAATTATACATAAAAACAAAGTCTACTATATACTAGCTATGTTACTTTGGACAATTATTTAACCTCTCAGTTTTGTTATTGGCAAAAGTTGAACTATATCCTGTTCTTTAGTAGGTTGTTGTAAGGATCAAACCAGACAGTATATATGTATACACAC